AATTAGCTTATTTGGGTTTTTGGGCTTTTAAAGTCCTGTCTTGTTGTTTGCATGCTTCGGGAGCTCATTCCCTTCATAGTAGATGTGCATTTCATTATTTTTGTGAGACCGGATAAAATTGATTATTCACAGGAGTGTTGGGACCAAGTTTAATGGGTAGGGTGCTAGCAATGGTAAGTTTCACAAGTGAGGCAAAAGTAAGGGTAGCCATGAGTAGGATTATAAAAAAAGGCTATTAAGCTTTAGGTAAATTTTATACTATCTTATTGGTACAAAATATTTATCGACTTCACCAATGGCTAATCTTCGTTGAGAAAACTGGCTAGTTACCTTTGGTGGGGACTCCCCTCCTAATATATTTTTTCATACACAAAGACTCGAATATGAGACATTACTTAAAGGAATCGAGTCCAATGTCACTCAGATCAACAATTTGTTGGTTGAGGGATATGAATTTGAATTAAATGAAATAATTATACTAATAGTTACTCTTGAAATAAGTAGACTTCTCCCTTGTATTTCTAAGAATGAGAATAAGAATACTTAATCTCAAGCCTTTCTGAAATAATGTTTTAACATTTTTAAGGACATCTCTTTAGTGAGAGCAATTTTAAGCACTTTTTTTGATGTATAAGTTTTTAGAGATTTTTTAACTATTTATTTATTCTAATTTTATTTATCATATTATTTATAAATAAAATTTTAATATTTTTAGATAAACTATCAATAATGAGAAAAAATCTTACGTCATAATATAAATTATTAAGCATTTGCTTTTAACTGACTCGTTGGAGGTTAGTTATTAATTAAAATAATTTAGGCTTTATAGTAAAGGGTATATTTTTTGGTGCTTTTCTTTTATGAGAAAAGTTTTAAGAATTCTTATAACTACTTATCCACCTCAATATATTAAATATAAAATACTTTCTTATGTGAGAACATTTTTTATTGATTTTTATGAAACAAGAGCATTTTTGGACACTTTTCTTCAACAATAAGGTTTTTATACTTTTTTTTTTAACTTTTTATCTAATTTAATTTTTATTTATCATATTTATTTATGATTAAAATTTAATATTTTAAAATAGGTTATCAATAATTAAATATAATCTTGTACTAGTATAAATCATTTGATATAAATATAAAATATAATTTATATATTTAAAATATTTATTCATATAAATTATATATATAATATTTATTTGTATATGTAATTTATTATTATACATTTTAGTTATATATGATAAATATTTATTCTATGCAATACATAGACTAAAATACTATTTTATGTTATGATTCAAAATCATTTTTAACTACTATCAATTTCTTTTAAAATTATTAAAATTTAATTTAGAAATGAAAAATGTGAATAATAAATTAAAAGAGTAAAAATTTAAAGAAAATTTCAAAAAACATTATCATTAAATAAAATCAACTAAAAACCTTGTTGAAATAAATAGTGCCTAATATCACTATTGTTTAAGAGAAGTATACTAATTTAGAGATTAAAAAAATTATTATTGATGAATTTTCCTTAAAATAATATTAACTTCAATTTCAAAAATAAGAATGACATCCATTTCTCATTAGTAGATGAAAATAATTGATTATTAAAGACAAAAAGTCATGAAAATTTCTTGAAAAATGTTTTTATCAAAGAAAAATAATTAAAATGGTTGTCGTTAAATAAAGAATTATAAAAATACTTTTTTTATTCAAGCAATGATATAAAATTGAATCGGTCATCGAATCAATTTAGATAGTGATTTAATAGTTTAGTGGCCAAAACTGAAAGGTCCCTCATTAAATAATTAAAACTAGTTTGTATTATTTTTCTTAAATAATATAGTTAACATAATTTAATATAAAAAATAGAAATCAAATTATATATGTATAATATATTCGTAACACGTAACATATAATGACTCATTGACCTAGTGGTAAATGAGTTCTATGTTATCTAAAAGGAATTAAGTTTGGATCCTCTTTAATAACAATGTGTATGGTTTTAATGTTTTAGTATATGTAATATATTGTATATGTATAATATATTTGTAATTAAAAGCATGTTATTTAGCATATAAGTGTTCATTAACTTAAAATTGAGGGGATCGGGTTCAAGGTCCTCCATGTAACAATATTTTTGAATGTGTTATTTGTAAAATATGTTCGACCATATTTGATTGGTTTAACTACATATCCAATCTAATATAGTAGTTATTTTGGCCTATTAATGGAATCATGCCTATGAGGGCAAAAAGTGACAAATTGAAGGATCCAAGAGGAATGAGCTAGACATGAAGATTTGGGCAAGTTAGAGCCCAATGGGCCTGGTGGGCTTGGGAGGCCCAAGTTGCTACTCACATGGGCCATGCCCTGAGATACTCATTTTCTTCTATTTTGTATATATTATATTAGTATAGATTTTATATATTTTAGTCTTATATTTTGAACCACATAGATTAACATTTTTTGGGCCAAAGGCTTATTAGGCCTATTTTTGGGCTTTATGGGCCTTTGGGCTTTTAATACCCAATATTGAGCTCATTTTGTTTCTTTTATTATTTCCTTTTATTTGTATATGTTTAGTCATTGTATTTAGGCCATTAAAGTAGGAATATTGGAGGAATACTTAATAAGGTAAAACTAGCTTAAATTATGTTTCATTTAGCATGCATTTAAGTTGAATTTGAGTCACATGTTTTAGCCAAGGGTGGCTGCACATATGTACACTCAAATGCATCTTAAATTCACGCCAGATGATGTTTAATTAGCCATGATTCACGTTTAGCACATGGCAGGCCGAAGAATTTGAATTCAAAATTCAAATTCTTGGCACCAAAGTTCAAATTTGAACTTGGCGCCACTTTGGCTAGGTTAGTTGCCTATTTAAGTCTCTCCCTTCACATTTGTATTCACTTTGAACTTTTATGAGATTTCTGAACATTCACTTCAGCCAAATCTCTCTTAAAGTCACCCAAAGCTCCTTGCTTAGTTCTAGAAATTCCTTTACTTTCTAGGGAAATCTGTGAGCAATCCTTTGCTCACCTAAGCTTGAGTGCTTCCTTCTTTGGTTTGGACCAATCCAAATCCAAATTCGTCTTCATTTTCTCTTCCGGATTTACAACCAGGGACAAAGATCTTGTGAGGAGCAAGGCTAAGGAGAATCATCAATTCATCTTTCCTACCTAGTTCCATCACCTATCCATTAGTTTCTAGTCGGACAGATCGATTCAATTTTCATAACACTTAATCCAAACTTAAAAATATCTTTTTTGTCCATAGACATGATTATTCTAAATTAATATATAATATGTATTTATATACAGAGATTTTGTTTTCTTTCAATTTCTTATCTCTTCTTATATAAATTTCTTTATTCTTATTTTTAAATCAAAGTTCAATATTTATTTATTGAAAAAATTATGAATATTTACAAATAAATTTGTCACAATTTTTTTAATCATAAATGTAAAATATAATTGATATGTTAAAAATATTTATTTATTATGAATTTTAATTATAATATAATTTATATATTTATATTTTTTACTATAAATTTAGGTTATGTTAAATAAATATTTATTATGCGTTTTATATATGTTTTTTTTTCTTCGTAGAAATGCAACAAAATACCAGTAGGATTTACGACAATCACAGCCATATTTAACCAATTGAGTTTATCGGTTTTAATCATATTATCCACACTTTATTTATGCATACATCACATGTGTTCATAACCTAGTTATCCTCACTCATAAAAATAAATATATTATCAAACTTTATTATTTTTAACTCATTTTTTTCTTAAGATAAAAAATACTAACTAAAGTACAAAAATAAGATAATTAATTGAATAAAATAATCACATCTCAACAATGTATCTAACAATTAATTATTAAAAGATAGGATAATTATTTTATCTTACCGTCTAATAATAATTAATATTTGAAACTAAACCTGTCTAATTAAATTAATCATATATCAAACTTATTCAAATTTTCTTTGAGATAAAAAAAATACATAAACTAAAATAAGAAAATAAAATAATTAAATAATATATTCTTATCTTAACCTTACATCCAATAATTAATTATTAAAAAATAGAATAATTATCCTATCTAATATATTATAATGGTTAATCTCAAAAACCAAACTTATCTAATTAATCATATATCAATGTTACCCATTTTTTTTCACACGATAAAAGTGGAATGATATCATAACAATTAATCTCAAACTAAACTTATATCTAAAAGTTACTCAAGATAAAATACACATTAATTAAAATTAAAAATAAAAAATTAACAGAATAAGATAATCATATCTCAACATTACCTTCAATAAAAGATCAATAAAACATAGAATAATTATTCAATCTTAACATATCATAACAATTAATCTCAAATTAAACTTATATCTAAAAATTATTCAAGATAAAATACACATTAATTAAAATTAAAAATAAAAATAAAAAATTAACAAAATTAGATAATCATATCTCAGACCTTCAATAAAAAATTATTAAAAAATAGAATAATTATTCAATCTCAACATTTCATAACAATTAATCTCTCATTCTAACACTATCTAATTTATAATTATGTTCATTTGAATCATTGTTAATGAACATATTTTTCTTAAAAAAAAAAAAAAAATAATTTTTTAATGCCAACACTGAGCACGTTCGAACGTTGGCCAAAACGATGTCGTTCCAATATCTTAACCTAAGCTGAAACAATGTCGTCATTATCTCATTCTTCCTATTTCGTCCTTGTCAGCTGGACTACGTTGAACCCACCAAAGCCATCACCAACGCAACCCCAAAGCGCGTGAACCCAACCCACACAAAACGCGCTACAAACCAAGAAGCGTTCTCAACACGCGCAACTCTACGCGAGTGGGGCATGGCTTCGTTCACACAAGCGAAGCGGGGCAGAATCGGAAACCGGAAAAGCTAAGGGCATTATCGGAAACGAAAAATTGCTCCCTCAATATAAAAATCTTCGAACCCTAGTTTTCATTATCACTCCGCATTCTCGCTCTATCGCTCAGTCTGTTTAGTTGCGGCTGAGGATTTCTGAACGAGCGACCTTCGTTCCTCGCAAAGGTAGCATCCTATGCTCTTGTCTCGTTGATTCGATCCATGCATGGTTTTTCTTTGCGATGATGTTTCTTCCGTTTGTGTTTTTCTGATTCGAATGTTAGGTTGTTTTGTATGCGGTTCGGTTTATGAGCCTTTGCTTTGCTTTTGTGCCGATTAATTGAAAGTGGTTTTCAAATTTTCGTGTTTTCTGTCGTTGAATCTTGTTCTTGTGTTCACAGATCTGTTGGATTTGTGTCATGAGTATGGGATTCTGTTTATTCTTTATGAGCTTATGATGCTTTTGGCTCTTTTATTATGGATCTGTTATGACGGTTTTTTTCCCTTATTGTGTTTGTTTACATGATGAAGCTGTTCTTTTGTGTTGTTGATTTGTTTATGTATTCGTCTATGGTTCTCTTTTTTCTTAAGGTTTGATATCATTTAGCTTGTTTGCTTTGTCTTTATAAATGATACATACATAATATTTTATTATGTATGCTATCGTTTTTTTGACGAAATATTTTAAAGTATTTGGATTTAGTTGATGTGTTGTTTATTTATTTCAAATTTTTATGGATCCTTTGAATTGTGTTGTTGATTTTTTAAAAGAGTTTGTTTTTGTTTCTTCTTTATTGTAAACATTGTGGATAGGATTCTGTATGTTGCTAAAGATTGATTCGTCTGTTAGATATGATTTTGCTTGGCTGGTTTTCTTTTTTGGTTATTTTTAATGTTTATTGAGTTGTAATTTGTTTTTATATCTTTGTCTATGTTTTTATCTCTTTGTCTATGTTTTTGCTAAGTAGAAAATGCTGTGCTAGAATTCAGTATGCTGTGATGGGTATGCTTTTATTGTTACAGATTGATTTATCTTTTGGATATGATTCTGCTTGGTTTCACTGTTTTGGAAATTGTAGTAGCTACTGTATAAGGGCAAAGTTGTTTTTCTTTCTTTCTAGATGCTCCTTGTGTTTATGCTAAATCGGAAACATTTTATATTGGATTCCAGAACGAGTTTTTTATGTTACGTTAGGATTTTTGTTGGATTGAATTTTTCTTGACTTTATTGCTTTGGACTTTTTTTAACTATAACTGCGCGAAAGTCAAACTTTTTTCCCTTGGTTGATCTGTTACTTTTAATTATTGTGTTCTAACTTGTGTTTCTTTTAATTAATTACAGTTTAAGTCATCATGGGTAAGGAAAAGGTTCACATTAACATTGTCGTCATTGGACATGTCGACTCTGGAAAGTCAACCACCACCGGTCACTTGATCTACAAGCTTGGAGGTATTGACAAGCGTGTGATTGAGAGGTTCGAGAAGGAAGCTGCTGAGATGAACAAGAGGTCATTCAAGTACGCCTGGGTGCTCGACAAGCTTAAGGCTGAGCGTGAAAGAGGAATTACCATTGATATTGCTCTGTGGAAATTCGAGACCACCAAGTACTACTGCACAGTCATTGATGCTCCTGGACATCGTGACTTTATCAAGAACATGATCACTGGAACCTCCCAGGCTGATTGTGCTGTCCTTATCATTGATTCCACTACTGGTGGTTTTGAAGCTGGTATTTCCAAGGATGGACAAACCCGTGAGCATGCTCTGCTTGCCTTTACACTTGGTGTCAAGCAAATGATCTGTTGCTGTAACAAGGTATAAGATTTAGGCTATCTTTGAGACTTTGACTAATTTGTTTTGATGTGAGTTTTGTTATTTCTTATTTGAAGTTGCAGGTTTTTTGACTGTGTACTATTGTTGTTGCAGATGGATGCCACCACACCCAAGTACTCTAAGGCTAGGTATGATGAAATTGTTAAGGAAGTCTCTTCCTACTTGAAGAAGGTTGGTTACAACCCAGACAAGATTCCATTTGTTCCCATCTCTGGATTTGAGGGTGACAACATGATTGAGAGGTCCACCAACCTTGACTGGTACAAGGGACCAACCCTCCTTGAGGCTCTTGACCAAATCAACGAGCCCAAGAGGCCCACAGACAAGCCCCTCAGGCTTCCATTGCAGGACGTCTACAAGATTGGTGGTATTGGTACCGTGCCAGTTGGAAGAGTTGAGACCGGTGTCTTGAAGCCCGGTATGGTGGTGACTTTTGGTCCCACTGGGCTGACAACTGAAGTTAAGTCTGTGGAGATGCACCACGAGGCTCTCCAAGAGGCTCTTCCAGGTGACAATGTCGGCTTCAATGTGAAGAACGTTGCAGTCAAGGATCTCAAGCGTGGTTTCGTTGCATCCAACTCCAAGGATGACCCTGCAAAGGAAGCTGCCAACTTCACATCCCAGGTCATTATCATGAACCATCCTGGCCAGATTGGTAACGGATACGCACCAGTGCTCGATTGCCACACCTCTCACATTGCTGTCAAGTTTGCTGAGCTCGTGACCAAGATCGACAGGCGATCTGGTAAGGAGCTCGAGAAGGAGCCCAAGTTCTTGAAGAATGGTGATGCAGGTTTCGTTAAGATGGTTCCAACCAAGCCCATGGTGGTGGAGACTTTCTCTGAGTACCCTCCTCTTGGTCGTTTTGCCGTGAGGGACATGCGTCAAACCGTGGCTGTTGGAGTCATCAAGAGTGTTGAGAAGAAAGACCCAACCGGCGCCAAGGTCACCAAGGCTGCCCAGAAGAAGAAATGATTGCTTGTGTGTGATCATGTTCATGGTTACAGAAAAACCTTGTTCTCCCTTTATAGTAGTTTATCATTGCAGAGTCTTAGGTGTTTGTTTTATTTTCAAGTTTCTGCCGATTTCTTGTAGCCATAGGTTTCAAAACTGGGTTCTTGATCGGCGGTGGTGAATTTTCATTGCAGTTGTTTTTGGGAGTTCTGTTTTTGTTTCGATGTAAGAGTCTTCCATTTTCGCAAAGCAGCTATAGGGTTTTAGTTTATTCCTTTGCTGCTGAGGATGTTTTAATTGCATTTAATTCATAAGAAAGTTTTGTCAACTCTATGCATTATTTCCTTTTTTAATTTATTTGAAATGATGTGAGGTGCGTGAACAGGAGGTAGTTGTGCTCTTAAATATGCGATCGAAGGTTCCTAGTTGCACTAACGAATTGCTGTTGTCGTGACTTATTGCTATATTTAATATATTATAGTTATAAGCCTGTGCCACTATTTCTCAACACATACATCAGTGTATTGCCACGACAAAGGAGAAACAAGCTAGAATTTTCATAACTAGAAAAGGTAAGTGTAGCTTCAAAGTATCTAAAATATACCATCTGGATTCATTTGGCGGTTTGTTTAGAGCACAAAATTCGATAAACAACCTTAGCAGGGTGTTTGGTTAAAGTATTTTAATGAAGCAATTCATTTTTTTTAAAGAAATTAAAATACTTTACTCTAATTTATGTTGTTTAGATAAGTTATTTTAAAAAGAATTTTAAATCTCTTATTTTATGAAGTATTTTAATTAAACTAAAAAGAGAGGAATTTGAAATTTCTTGGTCTCGGTTACGCACGTCTCTCACGTACGCAGATGGGTCTCTCACGTTTGGGGTTGGCTCTCTTACTCTCATACTTGCGATTTGGCTTTTCGCTGTCATACTCGTGATCATCTCTAGCGGTTCTTTCTCTTTTTTGATTCACGTTCTCTTGTTCATTCCTGATTTTGATATCGATTTCTTGCTTGTCATACTCGTCATTCTTTTGTGATTTTCGTTCTCATGCATGCTCATATTCTAGATTTCCTCTTGCTCATAATTTTGAATCAGAGTTTTAGATTTTTGTTCATCCTTCGCTGTAATAATATCTTGAGGTTTGCAACGATAACTTGGTATATCTAACCTGGGAGTATGGCATGGATTACTTCAGCGCTGTAGCGCCTGGTACTCATGTTAGTTTTTCTTCTCTTTCAATTTTAGGGTTATATTTTAGTTCTTATTGAATTTGTATTAATCTAGGTTTTCATTTGCAGTTCCATGTTTGATTTCAATAAATTCATACATTGATTCATTTGTCACAAATTAATATTTTTCTGTTTTGTTATGATATTTGTCTACAGTATCAAAGCAAGCAGGTTGAGGAGGTTACCAGTATATTCTAAAGTATAGAACTTCCATTAATTGTTCCTTCAGTCTCTCTAGAGGTACAATGCAAAACTTGATTTGTTATGTATTTTTTCAGTTGTTTTATCTTGATAAATTTTTAGGATCTGGATTATTTAGTTATTATGTTGTAGTTGTTTCTTGTATATTATGGTCGCTGTCACCTTTTTTTTTCTCCCTTGAATGGGATATGATAGATTTTGCCATTAAATTATTATTAATTGCTCAAATGTTTTGTTAAATTTATGGTATAGTGTTTTGATTAAAGCATCCTTTGGAGCAAGTCCTTGTCTGTTTTTTGTTGAAATTTTTTTTCCCCTTCCTATGGGTAATATATGAAACATCCCATCAAATAGTTATAAGAAAGTTGTGCAAGGTCTGTATAATGTAAATTTCCGATCCTTCTAGCTCTAACCATAGCTTTTGGCTAGGTTCTGCAAATTTGTGGTTGTGGCTTTACCTTGCTAAATTCTATGTTCACTTCATATAAGTTACTACTAAATACTATGTTGCCTCTACACTATTTGTGTGTTGTTAGCATTGGTCTTATTATTTTGTTGTTCTGGAAGTTGAGGGATGACATTTGTTCAATATAAGTGAGAATAAATTGGATTTGTGATATTCTGCAACGAATTTAATCATGTAGCTTTATTTTTATCGTTTGATTATTATGACCATCTTGATAAGAGCCATGTTCTAGGCTTCTAGCGCCTAGTCCATTTCAAATAGAAAACTCACAACTAATGAATATATAGGCAAAGGAGTGTCATCTGTTTGTCTCTGATGATTCCATGCTCACAAAAAATCGGAAGGTATGAGAGCACAAAAGTTGCATTTCACATTGCATTTTTAATCCATTGCTTATATCAATTAGAACCACATATGTTTATCCTGATGCATAGTAGTTAACCGTACTCTTGGGTTGTGGAGTGGTGGTGTGTCTCTATACAGAGCAGGTTGCATCACAATTTAGTGTCATGCTTGGAGTGGAATGAATTGTGGCATTATCGCAGCCATTAACGGCTACTACTCATGCCTTTTGTTTATTTTATCTGAACCTATTTTCCTACTCACGCCTTTTGAAGGGAAACAGGCACTGGTCTCTTCTCTCTTTGACATGAACCATTTGGAAAACCATGGCACACCAATAAGATTTTGTGGCCAAACCTACACGTTGTGAAACACTGAAATGTGTTTCTTTGTTTACATCCTTTGGGGTGTGTTATGTTCATGGAAAAGTAGGATCTATGTTTTGTTTGAGATTCTTTCTTTAATGCATTGTTTTTTCTTTATATTACCTTATGTTGTTAAATAACAAATAAAAGCATCAGAATAGCGGTCATCATGCTATCTCATTTTTGGGGTTGGTGGCTTTGTGCCGCAATCCAGGACTAACTACTATGTCTTGATGTTGATTATTTGTCGGTGGCCTATTGGCTTATCTTAATAAATTTATACCATTCTTTGACCATTTCCTATTGTACTTATCGGGCTGACTGTTTCATTGTTTGTATGAGTTTTAAAAATGTGAAACTTATTTAAATATTCAGATTGGCTGGTTGTATGATGAGCAACATATCTTGAGGACCTATTATTAATCTGAGACTTGTGTGCAATTTTTCTAATTTAATGACAGTCATCTTCCATAGACACTTGAGAGAGAAAGGAAAGGGCTCTACTTTGTGATTCTACATGGGGATTTTATATTTTCCAGTGAGCAAAGGAGATGGTTGTTAAACTAATCTTTTTCCACTAATGCTTAACTTACCTATTTGATTTGCTACATAGGCTCATCTTTGTTTCCTTTCTTCTCTGGAAAATGTCTATCACCTATTCTTAAGTAAGCTCTATATTTTACACTTTCCTTGAAAAGACGAGGAAATTCACATTCATAAATTGAACGTCTTATCTTATTAGGTGAGTTGCTTACATGGATATAACAAAGTCATGTAGAGAGTAAGGGTCATTTTAATTGTTTCACCTAAAGTTTTCTTCAGTCTTCCTCTACGTTTATATTTTTCATTTCTTTTGAATATCGAGATTTGTTTGGTTTGAAAGAACATTTTCAATATCTGTTTCCTCTTTTCTACTAGTAATGACAACAATGTCAAGTTTGTATTTTGTTTTATATTTTTAAATGCTTGTACAGGAATCATTGAATAATGCCATAAATCTTTGAAAATAGGAAATGTGATAGAAAGGTGTCATTGTTGTAATTATTAGTGAAAACAAAAAATGACAAAAAATGAATATTTTGTTTTGTTTCTTTGTTTTCAGTTAATATGATATCATTTATTAATTACCTATCATTGCTAATATCTGTATATTGAACTATTATGAATTTATATGTAATAGAAACTTGACATATATATAATATATTTTGAAATTATTTTATATTTCATTTTAATTATTTTAGATTTTTCTCTCTTATATTAGTTTCACTTGGTGTAGATTGAGAAGAAATGGATGTTAGCCTAGTTAATACCAGAATTACTTCAAGAAAACGTAAAAGAGAAGAGTTCAAGGAGATAACCATATTGGTTGTTGCTTATGTGGTTTATATGGTTATGAGTGTAGTAGCATGGTACCATAAAAATTATTTTGTTAAGGAACCATCCCATAATTGGGAATTGGAGCGGCGTAGTTTTCTTAATCGTCTTTATAGAGGGACGGAAAAAGATTGCATTGAACAGTTAAGGCTCAGTAAGAGTGCATTTTTCAAGTTTTGTACAATTTTACAAGAAAGAGGGGGGTTAGTAAGAACAAGAAATGTTCCAATAACTGAAGCGGTGGCAATGTTTTTACATATTCTTGCTCATAACCTAAAGTACAGAGTAGTGCAGTTTAGTTACTGTAGATCTAAAGAAACAATAAGTAGACAATTTAATAATGTCTTAAGAGCTGTAATGAAAGTGAGTCAGGACTATTTGAAGTTTCATACCTATCTAGAAGCTCCAGGTGAAAACAAATGGAGATGGTTTGAGGTAAGTTTTTCAATTGTATGGCTAGTCAAACTTAAAAATAAACCTTTTTGAAAAACTAAATATTTGAATAAACTTATGGTCTTTGTAGAAATGTGTTAGAGCACTTGATGGAACACATATTCCAGTAACAGTTTCTTTTGAAGATAGGCCTAAATATCGTAACAGAAAGGGTGATGTCTCTACAAATGTATTAGTCGCTTGTGGTCCAGATTTGAGGTTTATTTATGTGTTACCTGGGTGGGAAGGGTAAGTAGGAGATTCTCGAGTATTACGAGATGCTTTACGTCGTCAAAATAAACTTGAAATTCCAACTGGTAATATATCATGTAAATAGTATTTTATTTAATTTTATCTTAGTTCTAGGTCGTGATTTTCATTTTTAAAAATTGTAGGTAAGTACTTTCTTGTGGATGCGAGATATACTAATGGTCCAGGATTTTTAGCACCATATCGAGGAACTAGATATCATCTAAATGAGTGGATTGGAAACACCCCTCAAAAATTCAAGGAGTTATTTAATCTTCGTCATTCAAGTGCACGAAATGCAATCGAAAGGTCTTTTGGAATATTGAAGAAAAGATGGAGTATATTAAGAACTCCTTCATTTTTTGATATAAAGACACAAATTAGAATTATTAATGCTTGCTTTGTGTTACACAATTATATAAGAGACGACTTTGTGATACACAATTATATAAGAGACGAGCAACAAATTGATCACCTTTTGGAGGTTCAAGACTTGGAGCTCTTATCTATTGTTGATGAGGAGCTAACTAACCAGCAAATTGAAAGAGTTCAAAACAATGTCATAGACGAGGTTGCAACTATTCAAGTTACTGAGGAATGGACAAGATTTCGAGATACATTAGCAATGAATATGTTTGCTAACTACCAAGTTAGAAGAAACATTGCTTAGGGAGATTTTTTTTTTATTTTTATGTAATTTCTATTGATTAAAGACTTCTTGTTATGTACTTGATGGACTTCTATGTACTAGATTGAAGAAAACTTTGTTTGAAATATTGTCTTTTGATAGCTTCCATTTGTTTACAAAAAAATATTTACATGATCTAGAATTATGCATTAGATTTATCAAGTTAATTTTGTGGGTTGTATATGATATTTTTTATGTGTAGGTTTATAAGTGGTATTAACTTCAATGGAGTCATCCAAAGCGAACTTGAAGGGAAAACGAAAGATGACAGAAAGAAGTAACGAGGAAACAAGAAGTTATTTCACATGGAATTTGGAGATGGAACGTGCATTAGCTGATGTATTACGAGATCAAAGAAGTTTGGGCAACAAGAGTGATGGAGCTTGGAAAAGGGTAGCATATAATGCTGCAGCTGTAATGTTAACTACCAACTTCAAAATCCAGGTCACTTGGGAAAATGTAAAAAATCGTATCAAACTTTGGAGATCATGGTATGGCGTTGTTAGTGACATCCTCAGTCAAAGTGGATTTGATTGGGATGGCACAAAACACATGATTACAGTTGACAATGAAAATGCTTGGAATGAGTATGTTAATGTAAGTAATTTTATATTATCATTATTTAAAGCAATGTAATTTTTTTTCCTATTACAGACTTGTTTCTTTTGTTTTCAAGGCCCATAAAGAAGCAAAACAATTCCGTTTCAAGGTGATTGCAAACTGGGATGATATAGTGGACTTGTGTGCTAAAGATAGAGCCACTGGACATGGAGCTGAGACTGCTATAGATGCTGATGAGGTCATGAGCAGAGAAATAAATGAAAGGGAATTAGGTTTAGAGGGTGCTAGTGATTCCATATATTTAGATGAACCTGGCTCTACTACTCAAAGAAGGGGTCAATCTTCAGCTTCTACTAGCACACAATCTCAAAGGAGAAAGACAGGAGAAAAAGATGGAATAGCTAATTCGTTGAAAGAAGTGGCTGAATCATTAAAGTGACTTGTTCAAACATTTGATATTACGATTGATGAAGATGCTTTTATTCAAGAAGTGTTAGCTGAAGCAACTCTGATACCAAACCTTAATCAACATCAATAGGCCAAAGCTGTTAAATGGTTATCTGACACTCCAAAACAGTTAGCAATTGTGAAAGCTCTTCGAATTGAAAAAAAGGGACCTTATGTTTTAACACATATTTCTTGATGTAATTTTTTTTTCATAACTTCTTAATTTTAATTAATTTGATTAGTTATTGCAAGTTAGCTTTCTAACTTTTTCATGTATTTTGTATATTTCAGGTTTGGAGTTTTTATGCATTCTATGAATATTTGGATTTTATCATCAGGTCAGTTACTTATTTGACTTGATTTCTGAACATTTTTTAAATCCAATCTGTAAACTAATCTAAACCATTATTTCATGTGTTATTGGTCCTTTTAGGAACTTGGAACGGCCCGTTCCAAAGTGGGAACGACCCGTTCCGATTTTGGAACAACCCGTTCCAGTCTTCTAAAATTAGCTTATTTGGGCTTTTGGGCTTTTAAAGTCCTATCTTGTTGTTTGCATGCTTCGGGAGCTCTCGCTGGGGATTTGTTCCATGAGCTTGAGCTGA